AAGTACACACACATGTACACAGTTTTCATATACACCAATACAGCAACACACATACACTCAAACGCACATGCACATGCATATGCATATGCAACGCATCCATTCCAGCAGCCAAGCCGCCCCAGCCGCACCTGCAGGTGGTCCGTGAGCTCCAGCAGCGGCCGGCATAACGGGTGGCTGAGGCCGTGCAGCCGCTGCATGTCGGCAATGGTGCGGTCGGGGCCATCCTTCTTCAGGCTCTCGGAGATGTGCAGGAACCCTGCGCGACCGATCAGAGGGCCACGCGGGGCACCGCTGCCGGCGCCGTTGGCCTGGTCGGCCGCCGGCGGCTGCGGCGGTTGGGGGGGCTGCGGCGCTGCGGCAGGTGGCGCCTGCGGCTGGGCGGCGGCGGCGCCGCCTGACAACAGCTGCGGCGCCCCCGGCGTCCCATTTTGCTGCGCCATGGCCATGGCTCAGCGTCAAGCGCTGCAGCAGCGGCAGCGGCGCCGGTGCGCAGCTGCGCCGGACGCCGCAGCGCAAGCTGCCTCACTGGCGCACGCCGCCCCCTGACTGCTGCGCCGGGTCGGACGCGCGCAGCAGCGCCGCCTCTCTCCGCAGCTCCTTCACCACGTGCGCCAGTGCCTCGGGGTTGACACCTGCCTCGCACAGTCCAACCAATATGCGCAGCGTCTCCTTGTCCAGGCCGCAGTCTAGGATCGACGAGATCTGGTGAAGCGTCTCCAGTGCCTGGTCAGCGGCCTTGGAGTCCATCGGAACGTGAGTGCTAATGACGGATTTCACAGGCAATACTGCGATGTAATGAGGCGGACGTGCTGCAAGTGCCGGTTATGAACACGGCTTGTTGTGACAGGGCAAAGTAAATGTCACGTAGCAGCAGCAGAAAGACTGAATTGTTGAGACAACCTTGGCAAAGACGCTCTCAGACATATGACCGTGACAGGCACCAGCTGGTTCAAATTCGCGCCAGTCTGATCTGATCTCCCGCCATGAGCGCTTTGCCCGTGGCCAGGGCGTCGCCTTATGTGGGCTCAAATAGCGCGCATCACAGGCGGCAGCAATTGCCGCACGCGGCACGGCCCTCGGACGCCGCACCGCGCAACGCTGAGACGGCCCACACGCCCGGGCGCTCCTCGCCAGAGCCGGGCGCTGCAGCCTCACTGGATCGGGAGCGCGCACCATCGCCGCTCGGCGGCCCGCCAGCGCCCGAAATCGTCGACGGCGCCGGCGGTGGCGCCAGGCGCGCCGCCTCC